TCATGAACAATCCTGTGATGAAGAACCTATCACTCTCTCTTCATAAACGTGGAGAGAGAAAGCTAAGAAAGTGAACTCCCTCAAGGTCACAGAAACTGATTTTGTGTAAGATATTTATTTTTCGTAAGGCGTAACTGATGGTTTACCCTTCATACTTCTTAACTACACAAAGAATTTATAAATAATTCTCAAAAGGCTGAAAGAAGACAGGCTGGGGAGATACAGTGGGAATCTTCTTCTTCAGCCACAGCTCTTTCTACCACAGATTCAGCTAGAAAACCCTCCCCTCGGGCCATCACAGACAATAGCAGGGTGACTATCACACGGCTCCATTTATTTAGATTTTGAAGCCTGCGATTGTGTCTTTTCCCTGATCTCAAACCCTTAGTCCCTGCAAATCACATTTTAATAAAATGTGAAGTCATTTTTTAATAAAATGTGAAGTCACGTTTTAATAAAATGTGAAGTCACGTTTTAATAAAATGTGAAGTCACGTTTTATGTGGCCTTCAACTTCCCCAAGATCTGGCTCCCAGCTCCCTCTCCATCCTCCTTCCCGCCCACTTGTCCTTGGGCTCAGAGTTCCAGCCGCACAGGTCTCCTTTTGTTCTTCAAACAGGGAAAGCCATCCAACGTCAGGACTTTGGACTAGCCGCCTCCTGTCTGGCGTGCTTCTTTGTAAGTTACTGATCAGATACCACCTCCTCAGGGAGGCTCCTTCAGGCCTCAAGCTAAACTCCTCTCTCTTCCCTCAGGCTGCAGGGTCTGCACAACTCTTCTGCCACCTGCCAGACAGGTGTTTGCTTGTTCATTGCCTCCTCAACCTTGGTCTCCCCACAGGGAGGCAGAATCTAGGTAGATCTTTGTCTTCCTTATGATCGCATCAGTTGCAGCTAGAATGAGGCCTGACATTCAATAAATACCTTGTGAATGGATGAATGAATGAATAATTGAGTTATATGCCACACAAACACAGATTATTTTTTCCTACAGAAATTGGAGTATATGTTGTGTTTTATCTTCTGAGACTATTTTTTTTCATGTCCTAGATGTTGGAGATCTTTCATTGTCAGTGTACAGTGATACAATGTCTACATAATATTCTAGGCATGATTACACTACATTTACTTAACATGGTAAACGTGTAGGTTGTTTGTAAATATTGCTGTAATAACACTTCCATAAGCATTCTTGACTATGCCTTTATGTAGCCAACATATTCTGGCAAGATATATTCCTAGAAATAACATTAATTTGTTTAAATGGGCAAATTGACCTAAATGAAAAAGTTTAAAATTTTGAAAATGCAGTCCTTCCACAACCCTCCTCACATACCTAAATCCACAAATGCGCAAGTCACTTGCATAAAATATGTAGTATTTGCATATACCCTATGCATACCTTCCCATATACTTTACATCATCTCTAGATTACTTATAATATCTAGTACAATGTAAATGTGGTGTAAATAGTTGTAAATACAATGTAAATGATATGCAAATAGTTGCCATTACAAATTGAAGTTTCACTTTTCGGAAATTTCTGGAAGTTTTAAAAATATATTTTTGAACTGTAGTAGGTTGAATCTGCAAATAGGAAAGTAGATAGCTACAGAGGGCTGATTGTACTGACAAACTGCTCCCCCTAAAATATTTTTTCAGTGTAAAATCTCTTCAACAGTAAAGACAATAATTTCACACTCCCCATCCCCATTACATGGGTGAATAGAGCAACAGAATGCTATCTCTTTAACAAATTACTGGAAAATGCAAGCATCATCAGGGCATTCCCTTCCCTAAAGCTGAATAACCTGAAGGCCAAGGTCATTTAAAGGAGCCTGTGAATGAGATCAGGTGGAAATGGCCGGGGCTGGAGCGCATGGCGCAGGCTCACTAGGCGCCATAATTATAAGCAATAACTTTGTTTTTGTTTTCTTCATTATACCTTGGGAATCACTGTCATAAAGTCATTTATTGCCAGCTGCTTTCGTGTTTATAACTACAACTCCATGCAATATAAAACAAACTATTACACAGCCATGAATAGGAGCAGTCCTCTTCTAAACTTTATATTTTCCAAGAAGACAGATGGCTTACTTCCACCATGAATTTATATGGATGCAAAATGTCAGAACCAGCAAAGGGAAAAAAAACCTGCCTTTTGCCTGAGCTTGCTCAAGTGACTGGTAGGAATGTTTTACTAGAAACTATATGTATGTGAAAACGAGAACTAGTCCCCATAAACCCACTGAACCCAAAAGAATGTGCATTCTGTTCCCAAATGTCTACATCTGTAAACTCCTTTTACCCAGAGGCAAAGGGAAAAAACAAAGGGTAAAACAAAAAAAGAAAAAAACAAAAACAAAAATCTTTTTCATGTTAATAGCAAACCAGTGGTGCGATATGGAAGCTCCTACGGCAACAAAATATTGCTAAAACGATGCTTTTTTCCATAAATTTGACTGCCTCTAATTTTGAAAGTATCTGCCCCCATGTCTTTCTTATAATTAAATATATGTACCGGGCTCACTCTACACCCCTGACGCTGAGAGGAGGGGGTGGGAGGGGATGGCCTCAGGTGCCCTTTTCCTGAGTGGAGCTGGGGAAGCTGAGATTACTGATCATCACCTCAGATCCCCTGAGAAGTAAATTACCCACTTGAGACTGAAAGGCCCATAGCCATTGTGAAGCCAGACTTTCTGCACAGAGGGGCCCTCCTAGCTGAGGAAGGGGCCAGAATGACATAGGACGGCCCTTGTGCACATAGTACTGAGGGGCCAGCGTGCTGTGGGAAAGAGCCCAGGGCTGTAGGCAGAGCTTTGGAGTGCTTAGGGTCCCCGGAGCTTCCCGCTGCATGCTGGAAGGGACACCACCATCCTTCACCATCTGCACCCCGCCAGAGGCAGGCACCCCGACACAGCCAGGACTGTCACGGGGATGCCCTTGGGCAGCCGGACCGGTGCATTCAGAGCACAAGGAGTTCAGAACCAGGCACCTCTGGGGCAGCCCCTCACTGATGTCCGATCAGTGGGGCGTGGGGGTGTCCCACTCCTGCATCCTTGCCCTGGAGGGGACAAAGCAGAGCTGTGACCTGGTTATCCGGCAAGCATCACCGGTGGGACTCTGCCGTCACCTAGGACTAAGCCTGACATCCGCCCTCCTCTTCTGATCTCAGTCTTCACATCGCGCCTGTTTTATTTTCCCCTGGGATTTTCCTAACAGATTCCCTTCCCCCAGATCCTCACCCCAGAGTCTGCTTTTGGGAAGCACTGCAGACATTTATTATTGTCATTAAGCTTGATGTGGCTGCAGAAGAACTTTAACAGTGAAACAAACCTGTGGGGTGATTTTGGGGAGAAGCTCAGAGGGAACAGAGCCCGTGGTTACTTCTGCTCAGTCGGGGTGAGAGGAAGAAGAAAAAGGCAGGTGATTGAATTCTTTACGGAAGCAAGAAGGAAGAAAGAACATTCTTAAGACCATGAGTAACAAGAACAACAGAGACCTGGCTCCAAGCCAAAGAGGAGCTGCCAGGGGTGTAAAAAGGAAGGGGTTCAGAGACTGACCGTGCAGGGATGAGGCAGTGGTCCTGCGATTTTCTGTCTTCCACGCTCAGGGCAAGGCTCCATAAGGAATGTGCACCAAGGGGATGGGGAGGGGGGTGGGAGGGGGGTTCAGGATGGAGAACACATGTACACCCATGGCTGATTCATGTCAATGTATGGCAAAAACCACTACAATATTGTAAAGTAATTACCCTCCAATTAAAATAAATTAATTAATTTTAAAAGATAAAGTAAGGCTATTAATTGAAAAAAAAAAAAAAGAAGGTGCACCACATAAATAGTAAATAAACCCAAGTAGAAGTTATCATCTACTCATGTGAAGGGGAAAGTATTAGTCATGTCTGACTCTTTATGACTTCCATGGACTGTAGCCTGCCAGGCTCCTCAGTCCATGGGACTCTCCAGGCGAGATTACTGGAGTGGGTTGCCGTGCCCTCCTTCAGGAGATCTCCCCAACCCAGGGATCAAACCTGGGTCTCTTGCATTGCAGGCAGACTCTTCACCATCTGAGCCTCCAGGGGAGCCCAGCTACTCAGGGCTTGGAGTCAATCCTTGACTTCCATTACAATAAGTTGTATCTCCACATCTTTCTTAGGAATAAAGTTGAAGATCTGACTTCCAAAGGAAACATTTAAGAAAATCCATTAACAGCAATCAACTGCAAAACAAGAAACACAGATGACCTCATCGAGGAGCAACCCCAAAGCCTTGACACAATGGGGTGGTGAGGCGATGTTTTCTAACAGTCTGTGCATGGATTAGGCACAATGGATATAGTAACTCAACCACTTCTCAGCCAAACCCGTGTCTCCACTCTTCTTCCAAGACTCCCTAATGATCTGCTAGCAAATCAAACAGCCATGAGAAGGGAGGGAGATCATACACAGTCAACAGTATTTCCTGAAACACCATGGAAAGAAAGGGATGCCAGGGTGTCCAGAAGCTTCAGCTATCGGGTTCTCCTCTGTGACGTAAGCAAAGAAACAGAAATAAAGACACCATCTAATAAATGCTAAATCTTCCTGGATGTTTTTACATAGCCTTTGCTGCCTCTCAAAAGAAGCCTGAGAGGAGGCATCATTATTATTATCCCCAGAGAGAGTGAGGATGCTCCCCAAAGTTATACCATGGCTAAGAGGAAAAGCTCAGACAGCTCTGATCTTCTGGCTGGAAATTCTAAGCACTTTCCACTGCAGAACAGAGTCCATGAGGTCAGTGGAGAAGGAGGCGGCAAAGACAGAAGGATCCACCTTAAGCATCCCTGGTCCTTGAGGAAGGACTGGTTAGAGACGAGAATTCTTTTTCCACATCAACAGAGGATGAAAACCCTCCCAGGCACTAGCTACCAGATCTCAGCAGTATTAAATCTGCCATCATACTGAAGGTTAGTGTCACGGTGTCCCTGAAGATTAGGACACTTTGAGAACCACTGTGTTATTTTATTCTATTCCCACCATTGCACCAGACGAGCGTAGCCCAGGCTGGACCCTTCTCATGTCCAGCAGACTTCTTCCCTGGGACGCACTGAGGTCCTTCTGTGTGCATCTGTCACAGACCGTATCATTAGAGAGGGAGCAGGTTGCTAGATTGCCAACACATAGCGGGTTTTCTGCCTTCAGAATTTTTTGAAACCTCTGTTTCATCTCTTAAAATGTCAGCACGTTCTTGTCACAGATTGGGCAGTTCCACTTCAGCCCCTCTACAATGTCATGGTATAAACTTGAAAACACTACATAGAAAAGGAGATGGGTTTCCACAGTCACCTTTAAAGTAAATTCTATGTGCAAATACCTGACTCCCTTTCATATATATGAGAGTTAGGTGAGATTCTCTTGACAGTTGCTTGTGGCCTAACCTACAGTGTGGTTTGTAAAGAATAAGGACTTTCAATAAAATGAGTTATGATTATGCAGCTTGAGTCAATATGTAAAGGTAATACATTCTTCTTTCCTTAGTCACAAAGGAAGACATTAATCAAGCCTAATGCACACTTTATATTTAACAAGGGAATTAATTAGGGGATAATGACTAAGAAAGAGGTGTCTACAGAACACATGCTATGGGAATGACTAAAGAAAAAGAAAGCAAGAAAGGAAAAGAAGAAAGGAAATTGACTGTAGTCATATTTCCCAAGTTTAGGAATTGATACTCATGGCCTAAAAATGGCTGTGCTTTTTGGACCGTCAATAACAGTGAAGACTTTTATCAGCTAGAGTCTATTACGGAAATGAGCAAGAATAACAGGACAAGGAGCAGCCGGTCTGCAGGGAGATGCCTAACAACTTAGGCTCCAGGAGGTGAGTTATTTGTACACCTTTTCTGGTGATCACCGCAAGAATCCAACCAGAATTATCTGAGAACAACAAGGAAGGAAGCAGGCACCTAGCCTCTCACTGTACACATGAGGGATCAGTGTTGGCTCCTGTGCTAGGAGATGAGCAAACCACGTTTGGCAGAATGTGACATACCTGTAATTCACTAAAAAATAGTCAAGACTAAATTCTGTTTTACTCTCAGGGAGTTAAATAGCATAGGCATTGGGTCACCCTTACTGCTACAGAGGCAATGAGGAGGTCATACGTGATGGTTGGATAGATGCATGGATGGATGGAAGGGCAGAGGGTGGCAGACAGAAGGACAGACAGATAAAAGGACAGAGGAGATCATTTTGAGGATGTAGAGGCAGATACTTTCAAGCTGCTACTAACTCTAGTAGACGTTGACTTCAGTGAAAGTTTAATCTAACAAAGTGAATGACTTAATTTTTAACCGCAATGTTATAAACACATCTTTCCTAAGGATAAACAAAATAAAAGCCATCCATAACAGGTTGTAACCCTGTCTCAGATAAAACGTATTGCCACCAAGAGTTATATTGCTTTCAAGAGTGTGAAAGAATTTCTTCCCACCACTTTTCCTCTCCCACCATGTTAGTTTCTTTTTTTTTTTTAAAGGGGGGGGGGGTGTGTTGAAAGTGGAATGCATCCTCAACATGGAAAATGATAGTTTCATCAGTAACAGATGTCACCTGATGTAACTGAGGAATCTTTTTGAGGACATAGCAAGAAGCCAAAGATTCTGTAGCAGGGATTTATTTCTCCCAAGTTACAAAGAGCTGTCCAAGGTTCCCTTCTCCATGAAAAGCAGTAGTTTCACAACCAACAGTTCATCATGTGATCTCTAGCGCATTGCAGAAACTATAAATGATAACTTTTTGGCACACATCATACCCTGGCATTCAGTGTTCCTGTTAGAAGCACAGATATCTCAAAGGTGTACGTTCCTGGCAGTGATCTGTTCCCAGTAGCCCATACAGTGCCTCCTGCTCCACCATTGTTGATAGGCTTGCCCAGGCTCCACATGAAACTCTCCCGGGATGAAGAGTTCACCCGTTCAGAAAGTACATGGACCAGTGATTCTCAAACGTCAGTATATGTATATCCATTCACAAGAGCATCTTGCTGAAATGAAAATTTAGATGCAGTCGACCTGGGGCAGGCTGAGATTATGCATTTCTAACAGCCTCCCAGGCGATGCTAATATGGCTGGTCTGGTCACAAGTCACTACACCATAGTACCCCTTCAAGTCCTACTTTTCAAGGTAACATTGCCTGAGTTGAAACCTGAGGAAAACCGGAAGGAAATTACTGGTTCCACTTAATACGGGCTTACCTGAAATGGCAGATCTTCCAAAGCTACACAGAAGGCAGCAATAAACCAGGGAGAGGCCAGATGATGAAGCCCCTGCTCTTCCCCAGCCCCTAGTATTTTCCAACAAAACTGCTCTCTTCAAACAGCCAACTCCTTTCATCCTGATAAACACACTTGTCTTTCTGCTCACGTGAATAGAATGTCAACATCAGCGCTTCCATTATTTCCGGGTGGGACTATTTTGTTGTTGTTGGTGGTGGTTTTTTACTTCCATCTGTCCATGTCACTACTATATTTTAGACCCACAGTCAAAGCATTACAGTTTGGACTAGGATAATCCCCACACATCAGTGTGTAGACACGCCCCTTAGGAGGCCCTTTCTTAAAATGCAGATTCTGATTCAGTAGGTCTGGGTTGAGATCTCAGCTCCTGCATTTTACCAGCTCCCAGATGATACCTATGCTGCTGATTTTGGGACTCTACTCTGAGGGGCAAGCATTGAGACCATTACTCACGGACTTTCATACTCTGACCCCTCTGCTCATTTTGACACCTAAACCAGTAAAACTCATTATGGTGCAAACAACAGGCAACTTAACTCCAAGTAGCACTTAAAATAAAAAAAAAAAAATGCAATCTTTCATAATTTAAAATTTTCAGTGATATGTGTAGCTTCACAGGTAAGTCTTGATCTAGCCTCTCAATGATATCTCTAATTACTATAGTAAGTGACTGCTTGATTTAGGCTAATTTGCTGGTGTGAATCACATGTGTGTACACATACAGTAGTTGTGAATATCAGCTACCTGATGAAGAGGAAGTCACCTAGTACATGAGATGCTTTTTTTTTTTCTGCTAAGACAGAAGTTAAGGTGTCCCTTCTTGTCAAAATTGCAAGTGGACATTTTCCTGGGTTGAGAAGAACGCCTCGTGGAAAGACATCTGAGACTATTTCTGCTCTAAAGACATGATTTAGTGATGTGAAAAAGTTCTAAGAACTTTGTCAAAATTAGAAAGCATAGATTACTAAGGACTAAAAAAAAATGCATGAATATATGAATTCTTTTGCCTTTAGACTGAATATAAAATTATATTTTTTTTTATAATTAAAAGAAGTTCCACCTGAACTCATTCCCTGAACTCTGAACCCAATATTTACTTCTCCTCCCCAATCACAGGTAAAGGTTCCCCTTGCACCATTTCATCCTCTTCTATATCTCTACCTCCATTCTTTCCTGGTTTTGATTTGGTAAAGTGAAGCTGTTCTTAATGAGGCACACTGGACCACTCACACAGGACTGAAGCTCCTAATCAATAGCTTCAGAAAAGTTAGGAAGGAGAAGGAAAGACAAGACAATGTTTTCCTTAGCTATGGTGAATTTCCCTTAGTTGGCCACTCTAGTCTTTCCATTCAGAATTCTAAAGTTGTCTGGAATCTTGACCCTCATTTTCATTCTTTTTTTTTTTTAATGTGGAGCAACACTTCCAAAAAAAAAAAGTTTTATATTCCTGAAGAAATGTCATGACATTTTACATTCTGCAGTGAATGCATAAGCTCAAAAGATTATGCTGATGTGATGGTGACTCTGCTATCACTTTCAGGAACTGAAATATAGAAGAAAAATGCAAATATGTTCACGAAATGGAGTCAAGGAAAGGCACTTGTTTATAATTATGGATCTTAATTCTATTTTCTCCTCTTGAATGATAATATACAGTCTTTTCTAGTTACTTATGGTAAGGGATATTTTTGGAAAATTATTAGGAATGCAGATGTGAACATCTTTTGGTATATTTTATTAGGGAGATTTTTAAGTCTGTAATGACTAGCCTATGATATTTTATGAGCTTTCATAAATGGGTCATTTGTCCAGATAAGAAATTTAGTTATAGAATGAACATAGAGTTATATTTGGATCTTAATTACACAGGCCAGAACCACTCGCAAAGTCATTAGACATAATAATTCCTAAGCTTATTCGAAGAATGGACTGATTGGGGTGATCTCACTGAGGCCATTTTCTGGTTTTAAGAGGCCTGAAATTCTACTCTCAGGTTTCTCAATAATTTAAATGGTGTAGTGTCTGCTAAGATCTCAAAGAGCTGTCAGTTTTTAGTAGGAAAACAGTCTGGGTCTACAGAGGCCCCACAATTTCTTGAAAATTGATGCAGGTATCTGGATAAATCAATCAAATGGAAATCATCTTAGACAAAGTTTTCTTTTTTTAAACCTGCACTGTGCTGATGCTTTGTTCACTTTGACGTTTTAGTTACTACATTATAACTTAATGACAAAACATGGCATAGTCAAGAGGCCATATATAAAGGGTATAAATTAACTCTAATAAAGTCAGTTGAATTTTCTTTCCTTCTTGATCTTTTCTCTCCTTATTTCAGTTGTTTTAATAGTGCAAGTGCAAAACTATTAAATCCCCTCAAACTTGTTTAACCTCTTCTTCACAGGTCATCAGCTGTCTCATTAACACAAATAAAATTATAGGTTGTTTTGAAGCTCCAACTGGTAGCAACCACTAATACTATTTACAGCTCTTTTTCCAACGGCAGTCACGCCCTTGGGAACACAATGAGAAACTAATTACCGTTGATTCAGCATCTGAATTGTTCAGGCTTTCTTCCTCACCCACGTGACAGCCAGCATTGGGAACAATGGAGGAGGCAGGGAGGAGAGCGTCAGGAGGGCCTGAGAACCTCCTCGAAGCCACAGGTGCTCCAAGAGGCGCAGGAATACCCCCGGTGGCGGCCCGCGGAGACCCTTCTGAGCGCACTCCCATCACGCGGTGTAGCTCCCAGGATCAGCCCCTCTGGACCCATCTTCCTGCACCCTGGGATCCCATTTCATCGAGGAGGAGATGGGCTTTATTGGTTGGAAAATGAAAGATGGGCTTGTATGGATAAACACTGATGTTTCCCATTAGGCCATATTTTTCTCACAGCTCCATATGGAGTCAAAAACTCAACTGTAGTTGAAGC